TGAGAATCTCCTCTAAGTCAAGGACCCAGTAACTAGAAAATGCATATATGTATACATAAATCACTTCCATATTTATGTGTATGTGTGTATATAAATAAATATATATATGCATAAATATATATATATGGATGGATAGATAGATGGATAAATATACTCTAGGAAAATATAACAGGGCCTAATGACAATTTAAACTGGAAGGCAGGTTTTGGAAAAAATGAATCTAATGAGCTCTGTTTGAAGATGTAAGGTTCCCCCAACCCCTTTCTCCAGTAATTCTGTTTTTCTTCACTCATTTACTTTGTTTTCTTCTTTCTAGCTAGTGGTCTTCAGTACTCATAGCTTTTGTTCCTTTATAACTTTAGCTTGCACATGAGCAGTAGGGGCTCTGGGCTTTTAGTTGCCCATGAACCAATCAATACCTCTGCTTCGTTGACCCAATTTCCAAAACAGGTAATATGATTAGCTAAATTTATCTTTTTTTGTGCCACGCCACTGGAAATTTTTAATCAGCTCATGAATTGATTTCCCTTAGATCAGACTATGCATCCATTGGCCCAAATAGCAGGGGCAAATTCCTACAGAAACTGGTGTGAGGACAGCAGCCTGTGCTTGATATCTCTATTAGACTAATTTCATGTTGAAATCAGGTTATGAACCAGGTGACCTACACATAACCCATGGGCCTCTTGTTGGTTAGCACTTTATATAGCCATGTTACTCTGACTTTTGGCCTGAATATGAATTGTATAACTGTTGTTGTTTGGTATGAGATAGTCTCATTTTCTTTTAAAATCTTTCCAGGTGTAGTCCCTTCCTTCTTGTTCTAGTTTATGTTTTACTCCTTGTCTCCTGAAGGATCATTCCCCATGAAGGTAGTATTTACTAGGCAGGTTAAATAAGATTTCACCATATAAGCATTCTCTTTACTCTTCCATCAGTTCCCAGAACCCAAGAGATCCTACTTTTGCCCCTTACTTGTTTCTCTGTTTTCCGGCTTAAGGAATTATACTAGACAATAAAGTCTGGTTTTATGCTTTGGTGAATCTCAGCTCCTTTGCCTATGTGGTTCAAACTAATATCTGAGTTTATACTATGATCTTATTCAGGAAAACTGATAATTTCAACTTTCTGAGGCTATAAAGTTAAAAAAAATCAATCTGTGGTTCTAGGATGATCATACATGAGTCCCATCTAAAACTGAATATATAGATTAATCTTTCACACATGTAAGAGAAAGAGGTCCTGCCCACAAACCCCCCACAGGTGCTGGGAATAGAACCAGAGCCTCATGCATGCTAGGCACACTCTCTTCCACCACTAAGCCAAGCCCCTAACCCCTAGAAGAATGCCACCCCCAAGTTGCCCAGTCTGACCTCCAACTTGCAGTCTTCCTGTCTAAGCCTCCTGAGTAGTTAGGATTATAGGCATGCACCCCTGTACCTGGTACAGGGTAAAAGATATCTTTAAGAGAAAAATATGTCAGTAAGGATTAATTCCTGGAATCTGAGCCAAAGAGCTAAATCTAGTTCTTAAAGTAGAATCAACAATTTTTAAGTACGACTTTTACTTTATAAATAGAAGTGTCACTGAATGTGAACCTGATTTTTCATTGCCAAGGCTGACAGGGCCTTAAGCAATAGCAGAGACTTGGCTGGTATGACTACCAACTCCTTTTCTATGAGACCATTTTTATATGAACATAATTTACCAAGCATAATAATGTGCTTAGTAAATAATAACTCTATAACTATTGCTAGGGAACACAGAGTACTATTTGTAAAAGGACTGGGGTGGGGGAAGGGTACCAAAAGGGCTAATGCTGCTGTTTTCCATCAAATACATCAGCTTTATAATTCTACAATTTTTCCCTTTTATCTGAGAGAGAAAAAAAGATATGGATGCTATAAAGACCTTTTCATTTAGTTCATAGTCACTTTCCTTCAAACTACTGACATCAGTCTTCATTATTTTAATATCCATAATGATGACCCTTCCAATAATCTGGCCCCTCTGTTGTCTGACTTCCTTTCCTGCAATAATCTTGTTCTCTACTTCAACTACTAACTCGATGATAATAACCTAGACGTGGTCTTATTGTAACTACACTTCTCTACCTAATGACTACACTCTGCCTTTTAAGCTTATTTTTTCACCAATATTCTAATTCCATTAACTTTTCAAACACCTCAGACATGCCAAAGTATTGAACCTCACCCTCTAACACCCTCACTTCGAAAGTAGTGAGAATAGGAAATAGTTCATACTTAACACAAAAATTTATACTCTTTCTCCAAATTTCCTTATTCTCTGCTAATAATTATATTTCCTAGGCAAAATCAGAAGAAAACTTTCAAGTACTTCCTTCATCATACCTACCAAACTCTTACTTTCCTACCATTGTGAGAATCTTCTCAGGAATTTATGCATACATATAAAATAGTGCATTTAACTCCAAAGTCATCTCAGTTCCACCTTAAGTTTATTCAGAGACACCAAGATAAGAAGGCTAAACTAAAGAACTACAGGTGGCATGTTATTTATTCCCATGGGTTAGGTAGAGATGGCAAGTAAGAAAAGAACACTAGGATGTTTTAATTATTTCACCTAAAAAGGTAATAAAAGTTTTATGGAACAGTGCCCAATTATTGATATGGTATTTACTGAGAGATGATTTAATCTCCACCACTGGGAAAAATTTAAAAGAAAGATTGTTTGGCATGATGTCAAATGTCACCTTATAGGTTATTTTGCTTGCAAAGGGAAAAAAATAAACCTTTACCACAGTAATAACTGTGTCACTACTTTAATACAAGGATCAAACTTATTATCAACAGTGGAAAAAAACTGACATTAAATGACCCTAATAGTGATGCAATATATGAATTGCACAGTATGATTTATGAAATATCGTTTCCAAATATGTTTAATCTGAAGCACTCAAGCCTCTAGTAACTTGCGGTTTAAAGGAAACACAAGATTTAGAGGCAAAAAAAAAAAATACAAACACACAACTCAAAATTAGGGCATTGTTCAGGACACCTGGCTTGTTCTCAATGAAAAAAAATTAGTATTATTAAGAGGAAATTGATTAAATTAAATTTTTTAGATTTAAAAAGACCAAAGAAAGTTAAAATCTAATTGCAATGTGCAATCATTCATAGGATCATGATTCAAAACAAATACAAATGTCGAGAACAATTATTTTCATAGCAGTGATAAGGATCTTCACAGAAAAACTGCCAGTCCCGCTGCAGCAAAATAAGGGGGGGGGGGGGTGGGGTGGGGGGGGGGTGAAAAGCAACTTGTGTACATTGATACAGTAGGAGTGGGAGCCCTTTATTGTAGGACAGGAGGGGTATATATACATTCCACACAGCTTATCTTAATTAACATAAACTAGATACAGCAGTCAACCAATAAGGAATCTCCACACTTAATGGCTCCCTGGCTTTACTTCACAAATCACTCCCTCTGGCAAAATGCCAGGCACCATCTTGACTTGTTTATAGACCCTAACAAAAAACAACCTATAGGAGCTAATAACTAAAGTATTTTTACAGGTGGAGTGTTTTGTGTAAAACTTAAGAGTTCTGATTTTTAAAAAATCCACAAATGTGAAAAATAAAATAAATATGGTAATATATTTGAATCTAGGTGATGGGTATACAGATGATTTTGTACTTTTTTGTTCATCTTTTCTGAGATTAAAAATTTTTTAATAAGAAATTGGAAAAATAACTGTGCATCGCAAATTCCTACACATCTTTATGAGTACATTTTGTGTTTAATCCCTATAAAGTCTTTTTTGAAGGGATAGGGGTGATTTGGGGAATTGAACTCAGGCACTCTCTACCACTAAGCTACATCTTCAGTCTTCTTTATTATGAGACAGAGTCTAAGTTGCTGAGGACAGCGCGAATTTCTGATCCTCCTGCCTCAGCCTCTAAGTGGCTGGAATTATAGACACCACCACGCTTGGCTTAGAAAGACTTTTTGCTCATCCTAATATGGTGGCTTTTAGTAGACAAAAGAGAATGCTTAGCAAATTAGTAACAAGATTTACAGGCAAGGTGAGAAAAGCCTAAATTAGAATGAAAGCATTTAAAAATCCTGGGGAATAGTTGAAACATTTACAGTCCTGGCTTTCATTTGGGCTTCTGTTAGCTTTTTAGAGGTATCCAAACCCAGCTTTACAGTCCCCTGGCTTTATGACATTCTAGCTACCGTTTCAGACGCGGGGTACCAGTGGAGGACAAAGTGAACTTCACGTAGGATTCTTCAGAAAGACATTTACTTTCAACATCCATCAGCTGAGCCATAAGCTTTAGACAGGCTCCTCTTGCACCCTCATTTCCAAGGACACTCTTTCATAAGTGGGTAGAAAATCGTTTTGGAGGGGCTGGGGTTGTAGCTCAGCGGTAGAGCGCTCGCCTAGCTCATGTGAAGCCCTGGGTTCACATAAAAATAAATAAATACAAACAAAGGCATTAAAAATAATGATTTTAAAAAAAGAAAATTGCTTTGGAAATATTCAGAAAGGTCGAATTTATCCAAGCAATTAATTTCCACTGTTTAGAGTTTGCCAAGCACAGAAAACCTTTGGCTTTGGTCCAGCCTTTGTGAGTGAGGTGTACTTTGAAGCTTAGGAACACTTCAGTCTGACAGGTCTTTCCAGATAAAGGTCACCGCCCACCACCGGGAGAGCTCTTCTTCAGAACCCGGCGGCGATCTCTGGCCTGGATTCTGGTCCAGCCCAGCGTCCAGCCCCCCGGCTCCCTCGGCACCCTGCGGTCTGCCCTGGCGTCCTCCCCAGAAGACGCAACATTAGAAAACTCAAAGCACCAAACAGCAGTGCTGCGTTCCTGGTGCCCACGTGGGAGCCAGGGCCAACCCTCTGCCAAGGTCGCAGGACCAGCTCTAGCGACTGTCGCCAAGCTCCACCCTTCCGTGCCATCCACTCTCTCAGAGCCCTGCCCTGCGCTTCTCCGCCGCGACCTGCCCCCGGCCACGCCCCCTCGCGGGTGGGCGGGGCCAGATAGGCCCAGCGCATGCCTGGAGTCTGACAGACTGTGAGTGGCGGCCGGGCGGCTCGAGTCCGAGGGTCCACAACGCGAGTCAACATGGCCGCAGCGTTTAGGAGAAGCTGCGGGGTGAGAGGGAGACCAGGGTAGTGGTGGGGCGCGGGAATGGATGGCGTCGTGTTTCGAAAGGGGGCCGAGAACGGATGCGGATCACAGGGGTAGGAAGCCGAGCTATGACAGGACCGCTTCTTAGCGCCAGGCCTGCTTACCCGAAGCTTGGACGCCTCCGCGGTTTCGGTGCCTGCAGGCCTGCCACTCCTCTCCCCGCCAGACGGGAAAGCATTATGGGTTTTCATTGTCGCTTAACCTCCTAGACCCTAATGAGGCCTTTCTGCCTTCGGACTCTTTCTTCGGCGCGGGAGCCCTCCAGATAATTCTAACTAGGAATCCCACCCTTTTCCCAAAGTGAACAGAGTTCACTTTTGCTCTGCTTTTTGCAGATCTAGTGTAATGTCTCTTCGAGAAAACTTTCCAAATCCGCCCATGCCCCCAGCCCAGGAAGGAACTCATCAAATACACGTCGTTCTGCAATTATATGTACTAGAAGGTGTTAGAATACGAGTAGTCTTATCTTGGGTATCTACAAAATCATTGGAAAAGGAAAATGGAGTAGTTGCTCAAGTCACTAAATATGTAATATGTCGGTAGTTTTGTAATCTGGAGGGATGCCTTTCCAAGTTGCATACGTTAAAGAAAAAGTCAAAGAAAAAAACCTACCATAGAACTTTCCTTGAAGCTTAACTATTCTAGCATCATGTCTTATAGATTCTAAATATGTTTCAGTTGCTAGATGCGTTTTAGTTTCGTAAATATTATTAATAATATTCATTGCAAGACTGCCATTTAAATGTTGCTTAAAGCTGTCTTTGACGAAAAAAAAAAACAAACAGAAAAAGCCCCTCCAGTTTTAGAATTTACAATGATCCTATTGAATCATTGCCCAATTTTTGCTGTTGTTGTCTATACAAGTTATTGGGCTCTAAAGGCAGAAGTTGGAGTATTTTAAGAATTACTTTTAACTCTGACATCAGAAAAAAGATATCTCAATCTCTCCCAAGAAAGGATCTAGAAAAACAGAAAAAAAAATTATAAAATGTATATTCCTTTATCTCTTTTTTGGCATCCCCATAAAACTAAGACACTTTATATTTCTTTTTTTTAATATATATTTATTTTTTAGTTGTACTTGGACACAATATCTTTATTTCACTTATTTATTTTTATGTGGTGCTGAGGATCAAACCCAGGGTCTCACCTGTGCCAGAGGAGCGCCCACCGCTGAACCATAACCCCAGCCCCTTATATTTCTAAGAAATGTCTGGAAATATTTAATTGTAGTGATGCTTTAATTGCAAAATGGATAATTGAAGTTGCTATCTTTTGCCTATTTGGAATACCATTGTTCTCTGCAGACAGCCCTAAGCAATAAAACCAATATTTTATGACATGAGGCTTTCAAAACATTATATTATTTAAATCACCCCCAAATTATCCAGTGAGATTAACCCCCAGTTTTCTGGTATGAATAGAAGGTACAAGAAGTTTGTAACCTGTCCAAGGTCACAAAGATAGTCGTGCTATCTAGATTCAAATTCAGCAATTCTAACTTGAAATCTTGAACTGTTTCTTTTTTCTACTAGACCATTTCTCTAAATAAATGTTTAACATTGTTATGTAATTAATAGGTTAGGGGGCGGTGTTCTTGGCTGTAGAAACCTTTGCACTTATTTTATATAACAAGTCTTCTTGAAAACCCATGTAAACTGACTTCTTGTAAATTACTTTAAGTCCACAAATAATTCCTTAATGTCTCTCAGCAGACCATTTTACCTGTTTTGTGAAGAATGATTTTTGTGCAATGATGTTTAAACACATTATAGTAGAATGAGGTTATTTGGTCTGATTTTTGTGGGTGTTTTTCTTTGTTTTTCTAATGATCAGATAGGAAATTAATTGAAAGACCAGTATAACTAAAGCAAAATGGTTAATAGCATGGACTCTTAATAATAAATGTGAGAATTAGAATTCTGATCCCACTACCTAAGTGTAGAGTGATCTTGGCTAATTTTACTTGACCTTCCTGAACTTCAGTTTCTTCCTATACAAAATGATAATTAAAAAAAAAAAAAAAACAAAACAGTTCCTTAATTCTAGGTTTGACCTGAGATTCAGTGAATTAATATGTGTAATGTGACTGTAAAGAATAGGTTTGGTCTGTGAAGACTATACAATGAGGACAAAAGAAATCATGTTTTACTTCCAAAACAAAGTTAATAAAAATTTTAAAGAAAATGTTTTCGTACGGTGTATTTTTTTAAAGTCATAGTTGGAGGTATGTTAATTTTGAAAAGGCTATTTAAATTACTATATTTGGCAGTCATACTGTCAGCTTAAATGCAGGTGACACTTATCAGTTGAAATGATCCTTTATAAAGTGGTCAGTTTCTTTCTACATATTTTGAAAAACTTAGGTTCTAGAAACTTTAGTGTATTGTACAGCTTCTCTTTTCTCTCAGTATCTAGCTTATTAAAACTATGTAGGTATAGTTCCATCAAAATCTTTAAAGTATAAATTGCTTTCAATTTATAGGTTTTCTCTGAACTCAGACCTTTACTCAGTAGCACTTATATGGTTTCCAGTTTGATAACTTTAATACTAATGGTTACTTTTGTGTCCATTAAATTGTAGTGAATATAAAAATGGGTTCCAAAGGAATAGTATTTGTGTATCTTGATTGTATTTTTTCAATATATCCTTGAAGAAATATGAGTATATTTCAGATATTAAGACAAGTTGTATATTAATAGTTAGATCAGAGCTGGCAAACTTTTATAAAGGAACAAATAGTAACTATCTTTGGCTTTGTAGACCTATGGTGTCTGTTTTAATCATATAGCTTTACTGTGAAAGTAGCAATAGAGGTTATGGCGGGGCTATGTTCCAATAGGGCTTTACTTAAAAAACTGGTGACCAGCCAGAAGCAGTGGTGCATGCCTGTAATCCACGCAACTTTGGAAGATACCAAGTAGAAGGATTACTAAATTCAAGGTCAGCCTCAGTAATTTAGTGAGGCCCTAAGCAACTTAGCCAGACTCTGTCTCAAAATAAAAAATAAAAATTTCTGTAGATGTTGCTTAGTGGGTAAGCACCCCTGGGTTTGATCCCTAGTATTGACCCCTGCTTAAAAAAAAAAAAAAAAAAAAAAAAATTAACCAAACAAAAAAACTGGTAGCTGCTGTATTTTGCTGGCTCCTGGCTTAGAACCGTGTATGAAGGCCTATAGACAACAGAATTAATTATAGAACATGGTTTTATTCTGATTTATTTTGTTAGATAGAGTGAGTCATCTTAGAAAATGGAATCCTCCATGGGAAGATTCCCAGAGGCATACCTGGGAGGATCACAGGGACTGGTTATCAGGTTATCAAATCCATATTACTATTCTCCCTTCATCAGCTTCCTCTTCACCAATGTCCTAGGAGTTTATTGATGAAATTTCCAGAATAGTGTCATCCCTGTTGTCTGTCCTGGAAATCCTCCACTTCAGTAGTGCAAATATCACTAATTAATTTTATTTGCATTAATTTTCTCTATAATAGGTACTCATGTAGCTGGTAATTGGTTTATTTAAATTATAATTAAAGACATTTAATAATGACTTTAAAAACTGTTGTACCCTTTGATAAAAATGGTCAGAATTCTATTATTTGATTGATATGTAATTTATCAAATTTATTTTTGATAAGATTATCTTTTACAGGTCCTGAGAAGTATTATTTCTCATTTTGACTGGAGATCACAGCATACAAAAGCTCATCAAAAACGAGAACCAGGATTAGGATTTAGTTTTGGTATGTGTTATGTTCTGTCTTTTGATTTTAAAATGGACTTGTCTGGAATCTGTTTATAAACTTGATAATGTCTTGTCAATGAGTAGAACCCAGTCATCATTCATACATAGATGATTAAGTCAGTTACCCCCATTCTTCCTTACACATTTTTTTGTTCAGCATATTATTCTATACATTCGATCTATGGCCAGGGGCAGTGGTGCACAAATGTAATTCCAGGAGCTTGGGAGGGTGAGACAGGAGGATCACAAGTTCAAGGTCAGCCTCGAAAATTTAATGAGACCAAGTCTCAAAATAAAAACAAAAAAAGGGGTGGGGATGTAGTTCTGGGGCAAAGTACCCCTGGGTTAAATCCCTAGTACCAAATAAATAAACAAATACATTTGATCTGTGTTAGCTACATACATACAAATATTCTTTTCCTTTTTTCTAAGTATGTAGCCAAAAATAAACGGCAGATTTACTGATATTTATGAATAGTCCTTGACTTACAAATTTGAATTCAACAAATACTCATGAGTCTTAAAACACTTATTAGATATATAATGCTAGCTGTCTAATAATAAACTAAGCCCATTTTGGTCATCATTTAATCTGAATTGCAGTTTTGGTGCAATTAGATGAAATTGTCAGATACGGGAGATGGGAGTAATGTGATATTGGAGGGAAAAAGAATAGATTTTACTTCCCTTTTATGAAAGGAAAACCCCAGGCCAAAAAAAAAAATTGTAATAATAATTCCTACCTTTGGCATTCTTTGCCTCCTAAAAGAACTCCTTGCTTCAAAGTTTTTACCTTTCCTCTAGTTAAAAAAACAAACAAACATTTTCTTAGTTAACTTAATCTCAAAAAATAATTACAAGGCACCTAAGATAATTAACTCACACTGAGGTGAAATTGACAGTCTTTAAGGTTATTGCTTTTGTTCAAAATTTTTCCCCCTTGATTATAAAATATTTTGCCAGAATGAAATGAAAAATTTTCAAGTGGTGTGAGGATAGTGGTTTGATTCAATGGGTCTTATTGAGACATCAGCATTGATTTGGTAATAATCACTATAGTAAGAAACTAGCAGAAGGCTGTGATGGGTTTTGGAGTGCCAGAGAATGAGATAGCTACAAATATTTGGGAGGGAGATAATGAAGCCAAAGAAAAGAATATAGAATAACACCTATGACCAGTTGATCTGATTTTTTATAAAATGAGATAATGAATATTACCAAGAATTTCTTTGAAGATTAAATTATATGCAGTATATAAAGTCCCTAACATATAGTGAATGACTGGATCAAAGTAGTTTCTCAATAAATAATACATGATAGATCCCTGTCTTGTCTACCTTTACCTACCCACAACCTTGATATGGACTGACCACTCCTAGAAAAGAAGTTAAGATGTAAAAACCCTGACTTGAACCACTTCTGCTAATTCATTATAAGACTATGGGTCTAATCATTTGTTGCCTCAGTGCTTTAATTTCCTTGTCTATAAAATGAGAGATTGCATCTTACATTCTTCAATTCAGTACCAAAATTCTGTTATCTTACATTTTCTCCCCCACGTTTCCAGACAAGTGATTACTAGAGTCTTAAAACATTCTTGTTCGTTCTTCTGTGTTTTTCTCATTTTTCTTGCCTAAAATACCCTATGTTTCTTGTAAATAATCTATGTTTTGATGTTGGATGCAACTACCTTAAGACACTAGATAACATAGATTTGTAAAAATATAGTTAGTGGTTGACTCTTTTTTTTTTTTTTTTTTTTTTTTTTTTGGTACCCAGGGATTGATCCCAGGGGCACTTAACCACTGAGCCACATCCCCAGTCCATATATATATATGATATATATTATTGGAGACAGGGTCTCCTTGAGTTGCTGAGGGCCTAATCTAAGTTGCTGAGGCTGGCTTTGAACTCGTGATTCTCCTGCCTCAGCCTCCCAAGTTGTTGGGATTACAGGGATTTGCCACTGCACCCAGCTAGTGGTTGGTTGACTCTTATCCTCAGTCCAGCCACTATTTTCATTTCATTCATTTTCTAATAACATTTTTATATAAATGAAGTGTTGGACACCACTTACTAGCAATACAGCAGGAGTTTATGTTACTACTATCTTCTGAGAAAATATCCCATCACTTTTACTGGTTTCTTTGTGCTAATTTTTACACTTAAAATTTGTTTAAATTATTTTATATAATTCTTTGAAACAAATTTTGTTGTTTTATGTTCATGGAAAATGTTTCAATGCCTTAGACTTATTCTTGATATCAGGTAAATTAGTTTCACTCCAATATTAGGAAATACTTGATAAGTCTTATTATGTATTAGAAATAAGAAATTTCTTATCTCACCAATCAGATAAGAAAAACCCTTGAGCTCTACAGATTTATATCTGTTATTTACTTGTAGAAACGAGAAATCTTATTTCCTTCAGCATTTGTATTGACATAGACTTGTTTATACTGTACAGTGAATTTGATTAGTCAGAAAATATAGTTTTTGTCTTTGTGGCTAATCAAAAATTACCTTCCCCATTATATATATAAATTTCCACATACCAATTTTATAAGGCTTTTTTCCTCAACTCATTGTCCCATTTTAATGTTTTCTAAATATCTTTCTCTTAGAGTTCACTGAACAACAGAAAGAATTTCAAGCTACTGCTCGTAAATTTGCCAGGGAGGAAATAATCCCGGTTGCTGCAGAATATGATAAAACTGGTGAAGTAGGTATACAAATATTAGGGAGAAAAAAATTTTTACATTTTTTACAAGATTATATAATCAGATTAGGAAAGTTTTAAATGTATTATAACTGAGGTTTTTTTTTTTTTTTTTTTTCTTTTAGTACCCTTTCCCCCTAATTAAAAGAGCCTGGGAACTTGGTTTAATCAATACACACATTCCCGAGAGTTGTGGTAAGCTTTCTTCACATTTTTAGTCCCAGAATACACTTGAACAAGAAAAATTATGAAACTCTACCCATTGTTTTAAATATTTGTTGACATTAAGTGACTTTTTGCCTTTGTTTTCTGGTTCAGACTACAGTATTTGTCTGCTTTTAAAAGCCTTGTGCAAAACACAGGCATTTTTTTCCTTCTAATTGATCCTGAACTTTGGTATTTCTCTAAAGTTCTAGAGTTGGTTAGTTTGTTGCATTTTGTTTTTTTATTTTTCCCAAGAATTTCATGCGTTTTAATCCTACCTTGCATTTTAGATTTCATTGAGACTTTTTTTTGTATGTGAGATCATTACTCTTTTTTTTTTTTTTTTGGTCGGTGCTAGGGATTGAACCCAGGGCCTTGTGTTAGCGAGGGAAGTGCTCTACCATTGAACCACATCCCCAGCCTCCAGAACATTACTCTTTTCAACAGATCAGTGGGTCAGAGTTTTTGCAGAGTTAAAGTGAGTTTTTACAAAATCAAGTTTAAACAGAAATGTAGATCCAGATTACAAATAGAGAATTTTTGAAGTATTTAAAATTTATTTTAGAAAAGTATGGAATTAAAAGTATGGCTTGTTATTATTGCCAGCCAAAACATTTACAGATATTATATTTGTATATTTGCTTTTAAAACAAAATTAGGCCATGAGGGGAGGGAAATCTCATTAAAATCAAAGGAAGATTAGTGGAGGAAAGAAACTACTGGATGTGGGGAGGGAGGGGAGAAGTGCAGGGGAGTGACAATGGCCAAAATATATTATATTGTGTGCATGTACAAACATGTAACAACAAATCCCATCATTATGTACAACTGTAATGCACCAATAAAAAATGTGGGGGGAAAAAAGAATTCAGAATACCATTAATATAGGAAACTGGAGAAAATGTAATTAATGTTTTTTAAAATGTGAATTAAAAAAATAAAAATTAAGCCAAATTGAAGTAAGTTAAAATAGTTCACCTACAGTTTTGTTGAGATGCATTACACATCAGAATGGGCTCTTAAAACATTTTGATGCCGTAGGAGGACTTGGACTTGGAACTTTTGATGCTTGTTTAATAACTGAAGAATTGGCTTATGGATGCACAGGGGTTCAGACTGCTATTGAAGCAAACTCTTTGGGGGTAAGTTACTTAAAAAATTAATTGCTAACTGAGCTGTTAATGAGACAGTTAACAGCTAAGTTAGATTAATATTAAAATAGTTTTGTTTTTTGTTTTTTCAAGAAGAAACACAAGTTTCAGCAGTGAAGCCCAGGGTATGATTCTAAGGCTTCCTTGCTCTGGTCTTTTGCCTCTAGTACTTGGAGTCCTAGTTGTCCTTGTGGGGAAAATGTATACTTTTGGCTACAGCTATAGTGGGAATTCTTAAGTAAGGGCAAGGCCTAGAGCCAGCCTTCAAGAACCAATCAGGTTGGCTTGCTGCCACTATTGGCACTGCTGAAATTTAGTGAGCAGTTCTTAGGAAGCCAGATCATATGTACTAAGTCATGCATTCTAAATTTAATCCTTTATTAGAGCATTTTACTAAAGTAATAAGTTGTACAAATAACTTATATGAAAATACTGACAGTAGCAGATGTATTACTTCATTGCTTTAGCTTTTTAACTTGAAGGCAGAATGAAAACCAGTTCTGTGAACTTACCTCTTGTGGAGGAAATAGTTCTTTTCTTGTTTTGAATTGTAATATCTCTGAATTTACATATTTAATAAAAATGTCTTGCTTTTTAATGTCTGTTTTCTTCATTAGCAAATGCCTATTATTATTGCTGGAAATGATCAACAAAAAAAGAAGTATTTGGGGAGGATGACTGAGGAGCCAATGATGTGTGTGAGTATGTATAGCTACTACTTTATTTTACATTTCACATTTACAAAGAGTTTTGAATCTATATGTATATACTATTCTATATGACATTAAGATAAAAGTAGTCAATATATTTAGGTAGAGTGATGTTCTAAGATGCCAATAAAGTGTCATAATAATCCCCTTTCTTATTTCTACAGGAGAAATATCTACTAAATAATGTTTTCAGGAGAACAGTATCTGTTTAATGGAGCACTATCTACTTAATTCTGCAGTTCAAGAACTAAGTGGTTCTTCTGAAGAACCACTTCTGAGGAAGTTCAGATTGAATGTATAACAGTAGATGTTTGAATTAGTGAGAAACTAATATAAACCTGTGACTGAAGAGATTAACTTATTTTTTGAATGGCCAGTTGACTTGGGGAGTATATTTGTCATTTTATTTGAAAGCAATTCAACAAATTTTTAAAATGAATTAAAAAAAAAAAAAACAGCAACAACAATGCACATACATATATACAAGGTTCTGTTTTGAAATTGTTCTTTATTGAAGGATTTTTACCTGTTGATTAGCCAAATATCCATCTAGGGTGTGTTTATAATAGTGAAATATAGTAGATTATTATGAATTTTAAACTAATTGAGAGAATTCATCTGAAAGAGTAGAAAGCAATATTTTAAAATAAATTATTTTATTCATTGCAGATACTTAAAAGTCAGGCAAACTACTTATAAAGACATTCATACATATTTATGAGGTAATTGAAAATTATAGAGTTTAGTGTAAATATTCTCAATATTGTCTAAAAACTGCATAAAATATCTAGATTCTCCTCTTGTAGCATATATATTGATAGACACGGGTTAATCAATTGAAGCATAGAAATGCTTAAGTGAACCTACCATAATACATTGATAAGAATATTTATACTAGTTATAAATAGGTATTTCTAAAATATTTGAGTCTTTAAATATAATATTCAAACTTTTTTAAATAATACCTTCAATATATGTAAAAATACATTTACTATTCCCTCTTTTGATAACTTCTAAATTAATGAAGATTTTCTGTGCATTTTTCTCATTCTAGTGCTAAATAGCAGTAGTTGTACTTAAAATATGAAGCTGAGGGTAAAAATAGAAAGTATCAATAAGTTTTGATTAACTTAAATTGATTCAGTTCATTATTTAAATTTTAATACATTTTTTTAAATTGTAAATAGTAGAGAAAACTTAGAAATGTATCAAGAAGAACAAAAATATCTGTAATTCTTCAGATATGAAGCTAATTGGGATTGCTATTTTATATTTCCTACTAGATTTTTAAATATATAAATATTTTTCTATATTATAACATCATATTAGATATGCAATTTTATATCTTTATTTAATATCATGAGCACTTTCTTATGCTCTACTTATTTTTAAATGCTTTGGTATTTATTACTGCAAAATGGTCTTTAATGTATACACTACACATTACTATTCTACACTGTTTAATATTGAAACTTCTTAGATTTTTGCTCTTAAAAAATGCCATGGAATAATTGATACATAAAAATTAACACAGATCTTTATATTTAACTTTACAGAACAGATATATTTATTATTATTTATTTATAACTTACCTGATCTTATAGTCACATATGCCCTACCTGAGGAGATAAATAAGGGCAAAACCATAACTTTTAATGCCATTTACTGCAAAAACATTTTGTAAAGTCAGAATTATTAATTAATATTATATGTATGATATTCTAAGAATTAAGAGCCATATTTTGTTTTTTAAGCAGTATATACCTAAAATATATTTAGCACTAGATAATTTATTACTTCTTAACCTTTGGCTAAGATCAAGTGTAAACTGTTCAATAGCTTGTTATGGGGACATTCAGTAAAACTCATTTGTCTAAACATAGTATTAGAATCCAGAAGTGTAAAACACCCCCTGGTAAATAAAACTCTTGTCGTAAAACCTTGTATTTTTCATGGAACTAAAAAATTGCTGGAATGTGCCTAACAGATCTAAACTTGGATTCTAAAGACTGGGCTTCAGGTCTTAACTCGTCATATAACAACAGGATAATCTTGTATATTCACTTAATCTTGAAGTCTTTACTAAACATTGAGTGTATAATGTTTTAAAGGGATATAGTAAAGAAAAACAAGATAACTTGTGTTTCTATAGGACTATCTTCACTGAGTGTTGCAAAAATATATTAGCGAAATGCCTTTCATACCTAATGACTAAGAGAACTGCTTCTCTTATAACTGCTTTTCATGATATATGCCAGACTTCATTTATGGAAATGCATACTTGAAACTTATAACTAATACTGTTTTCTCTCTTTTGGTAAGTAGGAAAACTTGAGCCAATTTTTACTCTAGTAATTATTTGAACCTCAAAACATGTTGCTGTGTATTGTTTTTCTTTCTAGTTTTATTTCTTTCACCCTAATTTTTTTTGTTTTTAAATATATAAACTATCTAATTTCCTTTAAAATGCTTTAATACCACCCAGAAAATTTAAACAAAGAATAAATGCAATATTTCTTTGTGAATTATATAAATGTAAGGAGGTGGTATTATCATTAATAAAGAAAAGCATAATGTTATACTTATTCAAATATTTGAGTCGTAAGCCAGATAGACTGAGAATAGAATGTAAAGAAGACAGGGCTTCTCCTTATAAGGAGTTAGGAATCTGATAAACTTATATCTTTATACAGTGTCTACTTACTAATTATGAACAAAACAATGTACTGATTTGATTTCCTTGATCTTCTAGTTTGCAAATTCACATCTAATGTTGGAAATCAAACTAGTTAGAATAATGAAGATGAAAAATTTTAGGGACATCATTTATTAAACAGTATTATCAATCCTATCTTCAAGAGATTGTGATGTAGAATAAGAAAAACAATATGAGCAACCACATTTTTGTGTATAATGCTGTATCATACCAAATAGTGAGGTAAAGAAGGGAATAAGTTACAATGAAACAAAAAGGGATTCTTCTTCTAAAAGAGGGTTAGAAAAAGTAAATTAATTACTAAACAATGGTCAAATAAGATTAAAAAACAATTCCAAAGAACCAGCAGTGACAAGCTATTTTGTATCCAAAGATAGACCCATATATTTTATAAGCTCTAAAAATTTTGCCTTATTAAGAAGAAACATGTCTAGTAGTATATTTTTTAAAATTATTAAAGATGGTTAACACAAAATTTTGGTACTTCAGAGGATCATCTTTTCTGGTCAGTTCATTTGTATAAAACCTTATTTTGTTAATGATGCTGAACACTTTATTGAATCTTCAAATAGAGTAATCTAGTTCACTTAACCTCTGTGACAAGTGAGTTTGTTCTACTGCATTCCTGTCCAAAAGCCATTATGCTCATGTTTTCATACCTTGAGTGCCTGGAGTCGAGGCTTTTTGAAGTAGCTCCCTTTGGGAGCATCTCTAACCAACATTACATGTACCAAGTGACAGTTTTTATCATTTCTTTTTATGAAATTTTACTATAATATCATTATAGGTATCCAATAAATACTTAATAACGTCATTATAGTTTCCTTCCACTAGTTCAAATTATCTCCCTTAGATGTAGAGCCCTTTTGATATTTGAGTATGGTTTGTTTGTGGGTTTTTTTTTTTAAAGAGAGAGAATTTTTTATATTTATTTTTTAGTTTTCGGTGGACACAACATCTTTTTATTTTATTTTTATGTGGTGCTGAGGATCGAACCCAGCGCCCCGTGCATGCTAGGCGAGCGCACTATCGCTTGAGCCACATCCCCAGCCCCAAGTATGGTTTTTATTCAAACAGCACCTGAAAGATGATTCTTGCTGTTATTATAATTCCTCTTTAAATCCATCCTTCAAACTTTCATAATAATAAACTTAAAAGCACATCCAAATATGTTTGCAAATGTGTTTACAAAGGCATTCAGTGGTTCTATATTATCAATTGCACTAGAACTTAAGGTATGTTTAAATTTGTGAATCCATTTCCAAATCTGACTTCCTCTAAAAAAAAAAAAAATGTATGCACTATTCACTTTTGCACACTAGGGTGTTATCTATTCTGTTGAAGCCTATCTATTTGATTCCTTAAGATTCCATGGCATAATAGTAAGCAGTCATTTAACTATTCTGTTGAATGCATAAAAATATTTTCTCCTCAGTGTGACATATCATTTGGCCTCCATGAGCTCTTCCTTGCCTGCTTCACCAGCCTCTTTTTATGCCTTTAAGTTTCTCCTTACATTTTAGTACTGAACTGTTGGTAGTTTCCTCTACACATTTGCTCCTTCATTCTTCTGGAGCCTTAGATCTATTTACCTCACTCTTGTTATTTAAAACTTACCTTTTCCAAAAAGTTTTACTTCTTTTCAACCTCCATACCCCCCATCATCTCCCAACCCTCCTGTAACAAGTTAAGTAATTATTTTATACTTTGATTTTAAATTAAGATTTCTTTCTTCTTTAGACTCTTAAGTAACTTAAGAGCAATGAACCTGTGTCTTTAGATGGTATATATCCACTGTACCTTTTGCTCAATAAACTCAAATTAACTTGAACTAGTTAACTCTTGCCTCCCTAGATTCCCTTTATCCATTACTGACTGTCTATTGTCATTCCTCTGTTGAAGAGCCTTAAGAAGCCATCCTGTTTCTAGTAGATACAATTTAAAATTTTTAGTTTGATATAATGGGTTCTTTGTCATCTGTTTTGTTCCTTTTATCCAGACTCATATCTTATCATTCCTTGCATGCACAGTATATAATATAATATATTCACATATTATAGAAGTCCAGTACTTCCAGCATTTCAAATACTAGATAACCCTATTTCTTTTCTTGGTGTCATATTCTGTATTGCTGCCTAGAAAACATCTATACCAAGATTACATGGTAACAATTCTTATTTCTCCTCCCAAAGAATTGCTTTTCCATTTGAGACTTAATTTAAGCATCATTTCTAGTAAGATAGTTTTTCAACTTCTTTGTGCATAATTTTTACATTTAGACATATAGTAACAATAAGGTTATTTATCTTTACTGTTACATTATAAAACTTTCTAGGACAAGATTTCATTTCCAGTTTCCCATCTCCTACTTTATAGTCTAGTATACTCAAATGTTCCAGGAAATGAATATATATTGAATTGAATTAAATGAATTTGTTTGAAGATACCTAGCATTTTAATTTTTTGTATTATTTATTAGTGTCCTACACCCAATTTTAATTTATACATTAAATAAATTTTTACATTTGAGACATTTATTTGATTTTCTAAAAATGTTTTAATTTTTGATATTTTAAAAATAATTGAACTACTTACTGGCTTTAAAAGAAAATATGGGGACTGTGGAGATATAGCTCAATAGTAGAGTGTTTGCCCATCATGTGCAAGACCCTGGATTCAGTCCCCCAAATTGCAGAAACAAGACAAAACAAAATTCTGTTTCTATACATTTATAACTTAGTACTTAGCCTTTAATTTTTTCTTTTATTCCACATATTCAAGGCTTACTGTGTAACAGAACCAGGAGCAGGCTCTGATGTAGCTGGTATAAAGACCAGAGCAGAAAAGAAAGGAAATGAGTATATTATTAATGGTCAGAAGATGTGGATAACCAACGGAGGAAAAGCTAATTGGTATGCTTTTTGAAAAATTTCTGTATATTTCTTCTTAATGACTTTTTATTCAGAATCTTCCCTTTCTTCCTCTTTTTATTTATTTATTTTAAAAAATTTTTAGTGGTACTGAGGATTGAACCTAGTGGTGCTTTGCCACTGAGCTATATTCTCAACCCTTTTTATTTTTTATTTTGAGAGAGACTTGGTAAGTTTCCCAGGCTGGCCTTGAACTTGTGAACTTGCCTTAGACTTCTGAGTAGCTGGGATTACAGGCATGCACCACCACACCCAATTTTTCTCTTTATTTTTAAACCACTATAATTAAAGTAAATCATGTTCATGAACTAGAAGGTCCATAAGAGATTATAAGCAGTTCCATGATTCAAGAACTATTTTGGGGCTGGGGTTGTGGCTTAGTGGTAGAGTGCTCGCCTAGCATGCACAAGACACCAGGTTCGATCCTCAGCACCACATAAATGTAGAATAAACATATTGTATCCACATAAAGCTTAAGAATAAACATTTTTTAAAAAGAACTATTTTGAAGCCCCTGAACTGCTTGTTTCAGATTAAGAAGTTTAATTTGTAAAATAAAATACCTACTCTGGATAATTTGATTACAAAGGCTAGTCTTCCATCTGTTTGACTTATTATCTCCACTTACCCATCTCCTATACCAGCACTTTCTTGGAACCTCTAAAAGTATAAGGGAATAGGACAATTATTGGTATAGAACATTTCTCTGATCTCATAAATAGGGAGAGACTTAGAGAATTCAGAATTTGACTTTAATAATATTTAGAAGGAGTTTGGGGATGTAGCTTAGTGATAGACTATTTGCTTAATATGTACAAGGCCCTGGGTTCAATTCCCAGTACTAGCAAAAAAAAATTTAAATTAAAAAAATTTATATGTATATTTATACACATATATATGTATATACAAACATACACATATACTTATATAGGTCTAAAAATAATGAAATGACGGTAAACCAAAGATTAAAACGTCCTTTGTTTAAATATAAAGTGTTAAAAAATACTTGGTTATTTGTTAAAAAAAAAGAAAGTAAAGTCTAATAAATAACTATAAATTTAATGGGATTAAACAATATATCAACCTTTACAAAACAAATATATGGCTGGGGGTATACTCAGTGGTTAGAGCACTTGCCTAGCATGTGTACAGCCCTGAGTTCCTTCCCTAGCACCAAGGGTAGAGGGGGAGCTAAGCTGAAGTAATAGAGATATAGCCAAACAAGAGTTTAAAAAGAAAGTTATAGGTAACACATTTTAAGACATATATTCAGAAGCAGGTAAGTGTCTTGTATTAGGAGGAAGCTATAAGACATGTTGTAAAAAGTAAATCACGTAGGTTTAGTTATTTTTGAATAATCTTGAAATTTTTGAAATAATATATAGAAAGACTAGTAGGCTTGTAAGTTTACTTTAGAAAGCCAGTTTAGAATTAATGGATGAGCCATATGTGGTGGTACATGCCTATAATCCCAACCTCTCAGGAGGTTGAGACAGGAAGATCACAAGTTTGAAGCCAGACTGGACAACTTAGTGGTATCATGACTCAAAACAAAAAAATAGAAAGGAGTAGGGATGTAGCTCAGTAGCAGAATGCCCCTGGGTTCAACTCCCAGCACTGCAAAACTCAAACAAAAAAGAATTAATGAGTGAAAATCAGAAAAATGTAGAATTTAGCTCAATATAAGAACAAGCTTTTCAACAATGCTGTCCAATATGTGTTTGGTATATATTTGCCCATCACTGCAAGTATATAAATAGGGAATTCTTTGAAAGAATTTAGTGGGCAGAGTGTGACAGAATATACTTATAATCTCAATGATTCAGAAGACTGAGGCAGGAGGATTGCATGTTGGAAGCCAGCCCCAGCAACTTAGCAAGATCCTCAACAACTTAGTGAGACTCTGTCTCAAAAATAAAAAGGATTGAGGATATGGCTCAAGAGTAAAGCACCTCTTGATTCAATCCCCAGTACCAAAAAGAAAAAAAAAAAAAAAGAATTTAGTGATGGTGATAATGTACTGACTGACTGCTATCTATCTGAAACTACTATCTGAAAATAATTCTGATTCAATGTATCTGTGTGATATGTAGTACAAGTTTCTAGCAAGTAAAGAATTTCTAGCAAGTAAAGAATCTGAAGCTCAGTGGTGGTAAAGCACCTGCTTAGCATACATAAGACCTTGAGTTCAATCCCCAGCACTTCTCAAAATAAATAAATAAAAATAATCATTCTTGGGAATGAAGTTATTGTTTATTTTAAATATATGTCAGTCCCTTTTAGTATCCTAAATATATCCATTGTGATAAAGTGCTATAACATTATCATTAAGCATCCCAATATCAGCAAGTCATAAAAAAGTAACTATTAGTTGGTGTAGTAGCGAATGCCTGTAATCCCAGCAACTCAGGAGGCTGAGGCAGGAGGATTGCAAGTTGAGAGCCAGCCTCGGCAATTTAGCAAGATCCCGTCCTAAAAACAAAAAGCAGGCTGGGGATGTGATTCCATGCTTAGGTACTCTTGGGTTCAATTCCTGGTACCAAAAATTAAAAAGTAAGTATTAAAATTTAATAAGTTGAGAAATCTAACAACACAATTTGAAATATCCAATGTCAAGAACTAGAGTCTTCACATACAAATTAGGTACTACAAAAACTAAAAAAGCAATTTTCAATTTTTTTCTATAATAAAATAAAACCATAGAGTCAAGATAGTTTATTAGTTCAAAGCACAGGAAATAAATTTGTTATTTAAGGAGGAATATGTCCCCCCCCCCTTTTTTTTTTTGATGCTGCCTGGGATTGAACCCAGGGTCTTCCACATGCCAACCATGCAGTCAACCACTAAACTATCCCCTGGCCTTTTTTTTCCCATTTTCCCATTTTATTATTTTCTTCCTTTTGAGACAGGGTCTGCTAAATTGCTGCAGCTTCCACAAACTTGCAGTCCTCCTGCCTCAGCCTCTAGGGTTGCTAGGATTATAGGTGTGCACCACCATACCTGATTCTTTTTAAAACATTTTTAGTAAAATTCTGTATATGCAACTTTTTGAATATTTTGCATTTCCCCCCTCATTCTTTATTTAAAAATCTTTCTGGGCAAAATCCTGGAGGTAGGAACCAGCAATATTCATAATTCAACTATAACAAATACACTAACTTTGCTGCATAAAAGTGACAGTAGTGCCATGCACAGTGGCATACACCTATAATCCCAGCAGCTCAGGAGGCTGAGGCAGGAGGAGCACATGTTCAAAGCCAGTTTCAGTAAGGCACTAAGCAACTCAGTAAGACCTTGTCTCTAAATAAAATACAAAATAGGGCTGGGGATGTGGCTCAGTGGTTGAGTGTCCCTGACTTCAATCCCAGGTACCAAAAAAAAAAAAAAAAAGGGTGGGGCTGGGGGGCGGGGACAGTAGTTGTCAGAACATAGAACATAATAGTCAAGATTATTATTCCTTTTCATAGGCAACCCTCTTTGCCCTCCTTTTCTCTGAGAGCTTGTCCCTTAAAGAATAAAATTGATTTACAGTCTGGGTGTGATGGCACATGCCTGTATTCTTAAGAGACTCAGGAGCCTGAGGTAGGAAGATTGCAAGTTCAAAGCTAGCCTCAGCAATTTAGTGAGGCCATAGCAATTTAGCAAGACCATGTCTCAAAATAAAAAGGGCTGGGATGTATTTCAGTGATTAAGTGCCCCTGGGTTCAGTCCTCATTACCAAAATAAAAACACAAAACACACAGAAGTACTGGCAATGTAGTTCATTGGTTGAGTGCCTCTGGGTTTAATCTTTAATACTGCAAAAAACAAAAATTGATTTGCAGGAGGGAAAAAATGCCAACTCCCCCCTATATATACTTTTCTTTTTCATATTACATTATCTTATACAAGGAATTTTAACTTATACTACAAAAAAATTAAATACTGTATAAGTCAAGAAGTAGACCTGGGTTGAAATGCTAATTCTGCCACATAGTAGAAATGTAACTTGTGCAGGTTTTGTAACCCATCTGATTCTTCATTTTCTGTGATAAGCTGTGAGTAATAATAATTGGGATTGTTTGGAGGATTGAGATAACATTCACCATGTGTTATTAATTAATATCATTATCACTATTAATGTGTGTATTTATTTTAGGTATTTTTTATTGGCACGTTCTGATCCAGATCCGAAAGCTCCTGCTAATAAAGCTTTTACTGGATTTATTGTGGAAGCAGATACCCCAGGAGTGCAGATTGGAAAAAAGGTAAAATGTATATTTATCAATGAATAAGATCTCAAATATTATTTTAACTATAATTATCAAAGTTACTATTTGTAACTTTGATGATAACATGAAATATTTTATATGTTGCTGAAGGCTTTAAATTGAGAAGAGTCATTTCACGTTATTTTGAAAGTCTGCCCATTCATAGTACCAAGCTATGAAGAATACTAATATTGTAAGGTGTAATGAAACAGAAATCACACTATCATTTATATTTCAAAGGACTTTCCCACTCTTTTTCCTTTTGGATTCTCCCCATAAGCTTTTGGTAAGATAAGTGACATTGTGCCCATTTCCTGTGTTAATTTGATATAAATGGACTACCCATTAAGTCAACCATCTATGCCTGAAAGAATGTGGGATGGCAAAGCACTTAAAATGTGAAAAGAAAAAAAAAATTATTTAAATAAGAAAAGGTAGTTCAACATATTTGAAAAAGGTTGTAATCTGAATGTGTGGAGATAATTTAGCACTTAAGAAAATTTAAAACTTGACAAATCAAAAGAAATATAGTCATTAAAGTAGTCCTAGTGGGAGCTCACAAAGCATGGTTTAAGAGTCTAATTCTGAGCCTATGACGAAGCCTGTGTTGTCAGGGACATTTGAGAGAGCTGATGAATGCCAATGCCTCTGATGGTGGCAGGGAAGGAAAAAAAAAAAAAAAAACTATAACCATACAGTGTACCTAAGACAAAGGAGTATTTGTGGATGTTTATTATGAATTACTGGAGGTTATATGAACATATTTTCTTCTTCCCAGATGGGAAAAAGTATAGATTATCTGATCAGATATTAGAGTAGATCTACATAGCTTTAACTGGAGAAACTAATTTGAATTGATTGAGTTTAAAAAAATTTATAAACCAGTCTTATGAATGTGTAGAATCCTGTTTTCTTAAACTACATCAGAATCTCTATGTTGTGGTGTATGCCTGTAATTCCAGCTATTCAGGAGGCTGAAGCAGGAGTTGGAGACAAGCCTGGGCGATTTATGGAGACCCTGTTTCAAAATAAAATGGAAAGAGGTTGTAGCTCAGTGGTAGAGCACCATGGGTCCAGTCCCTAGCACTGAAACAAAAAAGAATCTTTCCTGTTGTATCCAAACCTCCTTAAAATGGAAGTATGTAAACTTCTCTTTTAAGTTGTGAAATTTTAAAGGTGAAAGTTACCCTACGTGTTATTTATTTCAGTCTCTTCACTGATTATTGAATCTGAGAACCAAGTTAATGATTTACTTAAGGTCACAAACCTAAGAGGCTGAATTGAGATCAGTAATAAAGTTTTCTAGAAACTTGTCCACTGCAGTTTCTGACACTTTATTGTGCTATATTTTTTAAAAGAACGCATTAAAGGTAGACTACACCTAGTGATATTATTTATAAAACAAAATATAAGTACTAAGAATGTTGTGTTTCTTCAAATAAATTGAATTTTATTTGTGTAACATGTCATGTTTCCTGCTTAGGGATGGTTGCTAGCAAACTCAGGGCCAATTGTATGGCCCATCTGTAGAAATAAAGTATGAAAGACTTACCAACTTACATTTCTTTTTTCCATAGTAAATCCACTCCTGATTTTATCTTGCTATTTCTAATCTCATTGTCTTTTTATCCAGTTTTCTCACTTAAAGCATCTCTAATTCAATAAATATTATTATTGAGTGCAAGTAGGCACCATTCTAGGTATTAGGGATAGTGCATTTATTAAAACAGATAAAATCCCTTGTCTTTGGAGAACTCACTTTCTAGTGAAGGGGTACAGATAATTATATTGTATATATTTAAGCCTTCTCAAAACTTTTTGAAACAAATGTCCATTTGCAAAATTTGATGTTTTCAAAATGTTGTGTGTTTTAGAAATTATATAGTTTGAGTTGAATCAAGGAAGCATTTTGGTTTTAAATGTGGGGCTTGGAGGTGATTCTGGGAAACAGGTTAAACAGTGTTTTGTAAATAATGTTTTTTCATTATACCTGAATGGTAGTCTAAGGTACTAGAGTTTATTAATTTATAAAGGCAAAGTAAAGGGATGTTGGTTTTTCCTGAGTCAAACTATACATTGTCACTATTTGTTAAAACTTAGAAGAATGTTATTAATATTTAAACAAGAAAATTAAAGGATAAGCTTATAGCTTTATGTTTCCATTGCCTGTTTCTCCTCTTGCTTATTAAAACAAGATTAAATTTTTTTTCCTTAAAGAGGAGAATCATTGTCTGCAACTTCTCTTAAATAATTCAGTATGATGCTAATAGTTGCATATATACACAGTGAAAGAAATAAAGTAATGTGTCAAAATGTCAACAATTGGTGAAATTAAGTAAAAGGTATATTAGTACTCATACTACTTCTACAACTCTTCTATTAGTTTGAAAATTTTCAAAGCAAAGAGTTGAAGAAATATATAGTTTAGCAATTTATAAGAAATTATAAACATACACCACATACCCAGTACTTCTAGGTATTTATGTGAGAGAAATGGAAACAAAATCCTATGCAGAAATATTTTGGCTAGTTTATTCCTGATTGCTAAAATTGGGAGGAAACAACATCAGAAAGGCTACATAGGACAAACTCAAAACCAGCATCATAATGAATAGGGAAAAACTGAAACCATTTCCTTAAAATCTGAAACAAGACAAGGATGTTAATTCTCACCACTCCTATTCAGTAGAGTAACCAGAAATTCTAGCCAGAGCAATTAGGCAAGAGAAGGAAATAAAAGTGATAAAAATAGAAAAGGAAGAAGTCAAATGATCACTGTTGCAGATGATATCATTCTATACTTAGAAAGATCCAAAAAGCTCTACCAGAAGACTACTAGAGGTAATAAACAAATTCAGGCGGGGCGCAGTGGTACATGCCTGTAATCCCAGTGGCTCCAGAGGCTGAGGCATGAGGATCATGAGTTCAAAGCCAGCCTCAGAAATGGCGAGGCTCTAAACAACTCAGTGCCACCTTGTCTCTAAACAAAATACAAAATAGGGCTGGGGATGTGACTCAGTGGTTGAATGCCCCTGAGTTCAATCCCTGGTACCAAAAAAAAAAAGAAAAGAAAAAAAATTCAGCAAAGTAGCAGATTCCAGAATCAACATACAAAAATCAGCCGTATTCCTATACACCAATATTGAATCTGTTAGAATGAAATCAGGAAAACAATCCCATTCACAATAATCTCAAAAAGAAAAATAAATAAAAAACTGCCTAGAAATAATTCTAACCAAGGAGTTGAAAAACCTCTATGATGAAAGCTATAGAACATTGCAAAAAAAACTGAAGAAAACACAGGAAGATGGAAAAATCTCCCAAATTCACAGATAGGCAGAAATAATATTGTCAAAGTGGCCAATGTTGTCAAAAGCAATATTCAGGTTTAATGCAGTCCCTCAATTCCCATCAAAATACCATTTTATCTTACTCCAGTCAGAATGACAGACATCAAGAATACAAACGGGGAGCTGAGGTTGTGGCTCAGTGGTAGAGTGCTCGCCTAGCGCAGGTGAGGCACTGGGTTCAATCCTCAGCACCACATAAAAAATAAATAAATAAAAATAAAGGCATTGAGTTCATTTACAACTAAAAACAAATATATTTTAAAAATAATACAAACAGAATTTTGTTGAGAATTTTTGCATCAATGTTCATCAAGGATATTGGTCTGAAATTTTCTTTCCTTCATGTGTCTCTGCCTGGTTTTGGTATCAGGATGATACTAGCTTTGTAGAATGAGTTTGGAAGGGTTCCTTCATTTTCTATTTCATAGAATAATTTGAGAAGCTTTGGTATTAATTCTTCTTTGTAGGCCTTGTAGAACTCAGCTATGAAACCATCTGATCCTGGGCTTTTCTTGGTTGGTAGGCTTTTGGTGGCTTCTTCTATTTCCTTGCTTGAAATTGATCTGTTGTGTCCTCTTGACTCAGTTTGGGTTGATTATATGCCTCTAGAAATTTGTTGGTGTCTTTAAGGTGTTCTGTTTTACTGGAGTATAAATTTTCAAAATAGTTTCTAATTGTCTTCTGTATTTCAATAATGTCTGTCGTGATATTTCCTTTTCGTGATATTTCTTTTCCTTCTTTGTGTTAAGGTGGCTAAGGATTTTCAATTTTGTTTATTTTTTTCAAAGAACCAGCTTTTTGTTTTGTCGATTTTTTGAATTGCTTCTTTTGTTTCAATTTCATTGATTTCTGCCCTGATTTTAATTATTTCCTGTCTTCTACAATTTTTGATGTTGGTTTGCTCTTCTTTTTCTAGGGCTTTGAGATGTGATGTTAAGTCATTATTTTACTGTGTCTAATTTATAAACTAAACTATTACATATATGTACATATGATATATATCATACATATATGTATAGATAATATATATGATCATATGATAAAATTTAATTTATAAATATACATATAAATAGTATTTGAAAGATTTGGTACAATTAACAGTTTCAGGCATCCACTGGGAATCCTGGAACATACTCCCTTCAGAAAAGGGGAAACTACCTAAAATTTTTCTTTGTGTACATTTGACTTGAATAAACCTAATTTTTCTTTTCCTATACGGGGCACTATACAACTGAGCTACATCCCCACTGCTTTTATTTTTTAACTTTGAGACAAGTTGCTGAGTCTGGACTTGAACTTACAATATTCTTGCCTAGGCTAAACCTAATTTTAAGAAAGAAGGGAAAGCAAAATCCAGTTTTTAATCAGTAAATTACATTGCTAGCTCTGTTAGTTATGCTAAGATTAAAGACCCTAATCAAATTATGTTTACTAAATGCTTTTCCTGACACTCATGATAAAAAAGATACTTTTCAGACATATACAAAGATTAATCAATTTGTAGACCTTTAGACTAGTATTAATTTCAGAGTTTATGAAATATCATATTCGGCTTGGGGTTTGGCAAACACAAGGGTTTTCATAAAGGTCCAAGTTGTGGGCCCTGGGGTCTCTGTTGCAATTTATCAATTCTTCCATTGTAACAAGAAAGTAGCCATGGAAGATATATAAACAGACAGGTGTGTTTGTATTCCATTAAAGCTTTATTTACAAAAACAGGATTAAGGCCATAATGTGTTGCCCCTGCTTTAGATAATTGCAGAAAGGCGTCTAACAATGATTAAAGCTGAAACCTATGTGACTCAGAAATATTAAAATATGACAATTTTCCTATTAGGAGTTAAACATGGGCCAGCGATGTTCAGATACAAGAGGAATTGTCTTTGAAGATGTGAAAGTACCTAAAGAAAATGTTTTAATTGGTGAAGGAGCTGGTTTCAAAATTGCAATGGGAGCTTTTGATAAAACCAGACCAACAGTGAGTAATATGAGTTTATAGGATTCTTTATTACATTAAGTAAGTTTTTATTTTAACATTATATGCTTGGTGGGGTTGTTTTCCTTGTTGTTGTTTGAACCCAGGGGTGCTTAACCACTGAGCCACATCCCCAGCCCTTTTTTGTGTTTTATTTGGAGACAGGGTCTTGCTGAGTTGCTTAGGGACTTTTTAAGTTGCTGAGGCTGGCTTAAAACTTGTGATTCTCCTGCTTCAGCATCCCAAGCTTCAAGGATTATAGGCACACACTACTGTGCCTAATGTGTTTTTTAATGTCTTTATTTTAGTAAGGATGGAGGGGAAATGTTACTTTTATCTTTTATAATTCTTCAGCTTTTTTTTGCTGCTCATAGAAATTATTTTAGCAAATGCAAAATTAATGTAGTTTCTGTAGATTTACAGAGAGGCAGTCCACACACTTGATCATTTTTGTTGATTATGTATTTCTTATTCCTTTACCTATTAAGAGTATTTCCCCTCTGAGGCTTTCCCTTTTCAAACAGAGAATGTCTGTCTTCTAGGTTATCCTGTGCTTTACAAATGACTACCATTACCTTTTTTAGGGAGGGTTGGTACTAGGGATCAAACCCAGGACCTCTTGTATGCTAAGTGCATGTTCTACCACTAAGGTACATCCCCAGCCCCACCACTACCTTTAATTCATAAATAATTGCCTTGATTCTTCTCACCCCCCCATACTCCAACTGCCTTAAACTATAGGTCATTTTCTCTTGCATAATCCTTAACATAGATCTTAGGCAGGTAGCCATATATTGTGTTTTAAAGACAACATTAACTATTTCTTTACGAACTATTAAAATACTAGGTAGCAGCTGGTGCTGTTGGATTAGGACAAAGAGCTTTGGATGAAGCTACCAAGTATGCCCTGGAGAGGAAAACTTTTGGAAAGCTGCTTGTAGAGGTAATTTAACACTGTGCTTGTTTTGTAAAATGTAAAGACACTTATTTTTATCGGAATATCTATTTCTTACTTTGGTAGCAAGAAGATAACCAGAGTATTATGAGGATGGTTTTTAACAATAAATTTTCTTTAGACAATGCCAGTAACCATTGGTTGCTCTGGGGATTATTTTAAGAAGAAAAGGAACAGCTAACATTTATTGGGTACCTCTTGTATACCTGGACACTAACTATACTATGTATTTAAATACATTTTCTAAATCTCCCAGTAACCCTTTTCTTCATGGTGCTTTAAATTTAATCTCTCTTAAAGATCTAGAAACTGAGCTTTAGGGATACTAAGTAGTTTTTCCAAGTCTATACAATTTAAAAACCACAAATCCAGGATTCTATTTTATGCTTTTAGTCCATGTTACTTTCTATATCTTCTTGTGTATCAGATTTTAATACTGAAAAGTCAGGTCTTCCACTGTTGTAAATACTTTCCACACATGAGCATTTAATCCTCTCAGCAACCTACATTGCTCCCATTTGACCCATGAGGGAATTAAATCTCAAAAATATTTTACAATTCACTCCAGACCACAAAACTAACATGAAGCAGAACCAGTTTTTGCACCTGGCCTCTCTGATTCTAGCATATTACACTGTACCTTTATAAAATTTGTCAATCCTACCTCTTAAATATGTCTTTATTTATTTATTTATTAGTTGTAGTTGGACACAATACCTTTATTTATTTTTATGTGGTGCTGAGGATCAAACTCACGGCCTTGCATGTATGAGGCAAGTACTCTACCACTGAGCCATAACCCCCACCCCTGAAATATGTCTTGATTCCTTCCTGCATCCCCACATCACCACTGTTGTATCTTAATTATGCTGGTATCACTTCCCTTGTAACTGGCTTCTCAAATCCATCTTTCTCATTGTATTTTCTAAAATAGGCATCCAAAGTCATTGCTACTTGCTTTAAAATAATAAATATTCTCATTAACCAATTGAAAATACAAAGTCAAGTCTTCTATGAATTACCACAGAAATTCTTAACTCTTCAAACATTGATTTCCCCATTAACTATATTCTGTCATGTATAATCTACCATGTACAGTGAACCTATTTGTATCACCATATGTTAGTGATTCTCAAATCATCTTTGGTGAAAAATGAGTTTAATTTCCAATCAATGGTGGATCATTTTTTAATAAAATATAATATTATATTTTAATAAAATATAAAATTTAATAATACTCAACCTAAATTGAGTAACAGAGCTGACTCTGAAACAAAGAGTTTATTTGAAAATAGTAATGGATTATAATATAAATATGCATGCTAGGGCAGATCATAGACACATCTGAGGGAGTTGAGACAATAGGAAACTCTTAAAGATAGAGGAAGTCCATATAAGTTGTTCTATAGCAAAGACCATTGGGGACTTGTTGCAGAAGTTGACATTAGCTCATTGGTATAGACAGCCATTTATAGGCAAGTGTTCATGTGCAAGCAAATTATCTGAAATTCTGCAGTTTTGTGGAATTCCTTGTGAACTTCCTGTCATAGACATACATATGTGAGGGACTTTCCTTTATGGCCTCAGTTCTGTTTCATTAAGACCTAAGTGACTTTATTTTGTTACTGGCAACTTTCACAAATGTCACAAAATGTTTAATTGCTATAAAAGTTTCTAAATGCTTGCTGTCACCTACCTTCTGTATCGTGAACCAGTAATAGGTTGTAGACTACCACTAAGGACAGACCAAATTTGGATTAGTATCTCTCTATTCTGTATTCTAAATGGTTTTCTCAGGTATAGTTTCTAATTTTCTAATCCTATTACATTTTTAATGACAAAATTTAATCTCCATAACATATATTTATATTAGGTTCTTTTCCATTTCGTCCCTTCTATTACGGTATTCTGGTTTTTTTTTAACATAGTATCTCTTTTTCCTTTTATCTCCATAATCATGCAAAAATTCTTCATTCATAGTTTACTTCAGATTTTATTCTGTTATCTCTGGATTTCTTAGTGCCAATCTTTTAGTATATTGCATCAGGCAACTTCATTATGGCCAGTTATCTCCTGTTTTAATTTTTGCTTCTAAGCTTATCTGCAGGAGGTATTATTTTTCTTAGTACATTGTTGAAGCAGCCTAGAGCCTGACTTTGGTACCTTTTTTTCTATTTTTGTCAAGTACCACAAAGATTTACCATTCCATAAGCTGTTCTTTTACATTAATTTTTCTACTTGGAACTTCTGTACATTATAAGTACATTATATTAAATGTTAATTTAGCTTATTCAAAATAAGTAATATCTATATATACTATAAAATTAAGATCTGTCATCTTTCAGGTTCTTTTTTTAGAGAGAGAGAGAAAAAAAATTTTATTATTTATTTTTTTAGTTTTCAGTGGACACAACATCTTTATTTTATTTGTATGTGGTGCTGAGGATTGAACCCAGCGCTGCATGCCAGGCGAGTGCACTACCGCTTGAGCCACATCCCCAGCCCCTTTCAGGTTCTTCTTACCAGATTATCTGAAGATAACTCTTTTTTTTACTCTTCTTCAACTTAATATGGAATCTTCTCCTTTTATGTTCCCTTTCTTATAGGTTCTGAAGATTCTTATTCAGTATAGGAAAAGTCATATGAAGAATTCCTAGTTTTTGCTTACTATTTAATTTAAAATACAGTCTTAGATATTTATCATTTATTTCTACTGAAGATTTGCTTCCCTCTTAAGTACTCTATGAAATGTCTTCTTTGATATAATGAGAGCAACTAAGAACAGAGCAGGGAGGAAGAGCAGGAAGAAAAGATTAACATTAAACAGAGACATGAGGTGGGAGGGAAAGGGAGAGAAAAGGGAAATTGCATGGTAATGGAGGGAGACCCTCATTGTTATACAAAATTACATATAAGAGGTTGTGAGGGGAATGGGAAAATAAACAAGGAGAGAAATGAATTACAGTAGATGGGGTAGAGAGAGAAGATGGGAGGGGAGGGGAGGGGGGATAGTTGAGGATAGGAAAGGTAGCAGAATATAACAGTTACTAATAGGGCATTATGTAAAAATGTGGATGTGTAACCAATGTGATTCTGCAATCTGTATTTGGGGTAAAATTGGGAGTTCATAACCAACTTGAATCTAATGCATGAAATATGATATGTCAAGAGCTTTGTAATGTTTTGAACAACCAATAAAAAAAGAAATGCATTTTAATTAATAAGTATAGTGATGTGGTATCATAATTCCCTGTCACCCTTTTACCAGGTACCCCCAATCTGTGTGCTCTTTGCAGCTCCAATCTGCTAGTTTGTGTTCTCTGTATATAGTTAGTATTATGATTAAGAAGAGTCACTTCATACTTGAAATCCATGCTTAAATAATTGTTTAGGGGTTTCATGTCAGATATTAGGAAATATGTGATAAGATATAACCATATACTCCTCTGGTAACACATAGAAACTTGGAGCCAAGCAAAGTAAAAAACTTAAATCTTTTATGTTGAGTGTGTATTATAAACATGGCAGGAGGCAGGTAAAATGGTAAAAATTTAGTATGTTTTGTTAATTTTTAATAAAACTTAGGTTTTACCACCAATATTGTTTTTCTGTCCATATTATTCAGATTCATTTATGACCCTCTATGCAGTCTACTTTATTCTTCTGCTTATTTACATTGAAATATTAAATTAACACTATAGGACCTGTTCATTACTTTCTAAAAGGAAATGATATTTTATTGTACTTGCTGTTTCTTTTTCCAACTCAAACATAACCAGTCTTGGTATAGCTCTTAGTTATTCCTCATTCTATTTCTATCATTTCTCAGACTCTTTCTTTTTCTTTCTAAGGAACTGGTGTATATGTAGCTTGTGTCCATTAACTCCAAAAAGAAAGATTGGGATTATTCCACTTTTCGTTTTTGTTTTTGGTACTGCAGATGGAACCCCAGGGGCACTTTACCACTGAGCAACATGCCTTGCCCTTTTAATTTTTTTTTTTTTTTTTGAGACAGTTTCTCCCTAAGAGGCTTGCTTTGAATTTGCAATCCTCCTGCCTCCGTCTCCTGAGAAACTAGGATTATAGGCATGTGCTATTATACCCAGCTGACTTTTATTTTAATTTAATTTTATTTTATGGGAATATATAGAATGGTACTCTAATAAGAACTTTCTCATTCACTAGTATGTTTATTGTTGTTATTGCTTCTCTCTTTATGTGAATGCTGTGTCCGCTTCTTATCTTTATTTTGCTTAACCTGATGTGGCTGCCTGATAGCTGCTAAAAGTAAGAAGATGGTATTTTTTTCTTACCAATGATTAAAACCAGAAACATCAGTTATATATTATGAAGATAAAATCCCTTAATGGCAATAATTGTATATTCTTTTATCTAGTCAAAACTCTTTGAACTGGGTTTGGTGGTGTATATCTGTAATCCCAGCAACTCAAAGGACTGAGGCAGAAGGATCTCAAGTTCAAGGCCAGCCTCAGCAATTTAGTGAGGCCCTGAGCATCTTAGTTGAGAACCTGTCTCAAAGTTAAAAAAAAAAAATTTTTTTTAAAAGATTAGGGATGTTGCTCAGTGATATAGAGTGTCCCTGAGTTTAATCCCAGTAACCACCAAAAAAGAAAACAAACAAAAACACTTTGGGTGAAGTTGGTGCAGTCTAGTCTGGGATATTATGAAAGAATCTATTAAGAATAAACTCCCATTATATTGATTATTATTGTTAATTAGCAATAACTTTTCTCCTACAGTAACCATTTCTTGATAGGAAAGTGGATGAGGGTGAAAATGCTATGAAACTCGAAACTCAAATATGATTTACTTATCAAGAAAAAATATTTACATTTCTTTTTCCTTCCTTTATTTTTTCTGTTTTGCATTCTCCTCTATGAATGGTGGTCAGTGGCAGCCCAGTCAGGAAAAATGGAAAATAATTCATTCTGCCATTCAGAGTAATGAAACTTGGGGCTGCCAGTATTATTTTTCTCTTTGGAAAACAGTATGACTTAATAAAAAAGAGTCTGGACTGAAGGTCAGGACTAAATTTGAATCCTCCTTCAACAAAGGAGGATTTTGAGACCCTGAGCAATTTAATTAGCTTCTTTCCACCTCGATTTTGTCATCTGTTAAGTGGGAACTATGAAAACTCTTTCCCTGTGTGATCTTGTATTATTCTATGGCTTTAAAGACAAAATATGTGTCAGTTACTACAAATTATGTCTCTAGCCTCGATCTCTTCTCTGAGCTTCATGCTTGGATTTTCAGATGCCTCCTTAACTTCCCTACTTAATGTCCTGTAGGAATTTCAAAACTAAATTCACTTTTTGTTCCTTTCCTCTTCCTTAATTATGTTATGCTCAAAATTCTGCCAGTATCTTCTCATCACATGAAGATTAAATTCTAAAGTCTTTCCACTGATCTTCTGTCAACCATTTTGTCTTTTTTATTTTTACTTTTCCCCAAAATATGCTTAAGAATATTTTTTTCATTTCATTCACTTCCCGATTATTTCACTAACAGATCCACTCTGTTCATTCTATGTACAATAATACCTCCAACACTCTATATATTAATCCTGCCCATTTTTCTTCATACTCTTATTACTATCTAACATTATATCATATATATGTTTCTTTATTATAACCCCTTATACTCTCACTGGAATATAAGTGAGAAAGGATTTTCTGTTTTTAGAAACCTTTATGCTCTTATCATTTAGGATATATTTTTTACTGTTAACTTCTATTTAATTTAATAAATAGTAATTGAACACTTACTGTATTAAAATTATAATAATTAGATGCTATTTCTGTTTCAGACACTATTCTAAGTGCTTTTCATGTATCAATTCATTTAATCCTCAGAATACTGGAGAGTAGGTACTGTTATTTTCATTTATCACATGTAAAAACATTAGGCCTACCCAACAAATGATGGATCCAAGACTTGAACCCAAGTAGTCACTTATTAAAAGAGCCTATCCTCCTTACATGCTACGTGTGGTATTCCAAGGGAGGGATAGAAAAGAAATTTAACAGTTTATTCCTTCAGGAACCTTTAATGCTACTTCGGAGGTAAGATACTGTCATAAAACAAATATTCTAAAGTCTTAGAAATAAAATAGGGCAGTATAAAATTTAAGTCCTAATCTAATAACTACAAGGCAGAGTAACAAACCAAAAGTAGAGAGCTTGTTATGGGCTGAACAAAACCACAGGAGGTCTGAACTGGGTTTACCAACTGAATGAGACTCCCTGGGAGTGAGTACCACCCCAGATATTTTAAATCAAAATCTCCTGAGGCATATGGGCAGCTTAAAGAAATTTTCTGTTATGTATTAGCTTGCCAAAGCTGTGATAAAATAAATATTTGCCCATGTTGTCAATAGAAATATAAATTGGTGCAACTTTTATGAACCACATTTGGCAATATATCAAAAGAACTTAGACTTGGGTCCACATAATGTAATCCATAATCTATATTCCTTAAGATTTTTAACTTTCATTTCAGCACTGTGTAGATAAAAACAGAATGTTTATTGTCCATAGAATGGATGGAATACTTTGTAGCTATAAAAAATAAGGAAGTTCTTTATGCATTGATATAGAAAGCTCTCTGAGACAAGAAAAGCAGAATGAAAATCCATCAATGTAGTAGTATAGAAGATGTGTAAAAATGTGGAAGACTATAGATATGTTTGCTTCCATATGTGAGAATATCTATGAGAATTAAAAAAAAAAAAAAAAACCTGAACATTGATTAACTCTTAGGAGGGGAATTAAGTGGAGTAGGTAGTGGGCAGGTATGGTAGAATAAGAACGGAAACATTTTTACTGTATATCTGTGTTAGCTTTGTGTTGCTATGACAAAATACCTATGATAATCAACTTAATCAGAAGACAGATTTATTTTGATTCATGGTTTCAAAGGTTTCAGTTCATGGTTACTAGGCACTGTCACTTTAGACCTGTGGCTAGGCAGAACATAATGGCTGGCAATATGTGGCAGAGCAGTTTCTCATCTCTTGGTGTCCAGGAAGCAGAGAGGAGCGGGGGGAGGGGCCTGGGGTCCCAATATACCCTTAAAGGGCATGCCCTAGTGACCAATCCTCCACCGAGGCCCCTACCTCCTAAAATTTCTACCACTTCCCAATGCAACATCAGCTCTGGACCAAGCCTTCAGTATGAGAGCTTTAGGGGGAAAGATCTAAACAATAACAACATCCACTTACAGTTTTGACTTTGAATTGATAGCTATTTTACTTATTCAAAAATAACAAAACGATTTTTAAAAAGCTAAAAGAATTATTGGATTAGAGGAAAGGAAACAATTCAGGCAAGTTTAAATAAGGGAGGATATTATCCTGCTTATTGCACACAGGAGTTATTCATACTGGTTAATTATGCCTCCTAGAAGACCTAAGTCAATCTCAAGTAACTTGTCACATTCCAAAACAGTGCAGCCAGGTTTCAGTTACTAAATATAGTGAGTATATGAAATTAAACAGTTCTGTTTTTTTTTTTTATGATGGTTGGTTTATATTAGTTTGTAGTCAGGTTAGAACATATGTGGTTTTCATAACATCTAAGTTTTCAAAGTCCAGTTTGATGTGCTTACTAAAGGAACAGGTTTCTAGTCCTCTTATTGTTTCTGAATGCCTATAGAGCTTCTTTTAATGTATATTATTTAAAAGCACATGTCATTTTATTGTAAAATATTTTGTATTATAACAATATAAGTTAAATTAAGTAATAAAATTCCATGATTCTATCATCTAGAGATAATTGCAGAGAATATTTCACTCTTTATTCTTTTTTCTATGAGTATATTTTTTCAAATTATACTATATATTTGAAAATTTCACATAATATATGGTAAACATATTATCTTGTAACACATCTTGACTATATAAATCATAGAGCACTTACCTATTATTGACAATATTTGTTTTATGTCTATATGCTTATGAATATCTAGGGGTTATGAAGCATGTTATCAGTATCTTACACCTTACCATGCTATTTTTCTCTATCTGTAACAATTTTATTAATAAAAATATCCCAAAAGACACTAGAAGAATATATATATATATATATATATATATATATATATATATATATATATATATATATATATATATATAAAATTTGTGGTATTTGTGCTCAAAGTACATACATAAGCTTATACCAGTTATGGGAAAGCATTAGATATACCCAAATTGAGGGACAGTCTACAAAAAATGATCAATCAGTATTCTTCCAAAGGACAAAGTCATGAAAGACAAAGGCTGAGCAAACAGCCTGAGAGAACTTATGAAGAAATAACTAAATTCAGTGTGTGATCATGGAAAAGAAAGGATAGTGGAAAACCTGGCCAAATTTGAGTAAAGTCTGTAGTTTAGTTGATAATATACCAATTATGAATATCCTGTCCTTGCTCATTGTACTGTAGTTGTATAATACATTAGCATTAAGGGAAGGTAGGAATAGCTTTTCTGCAAGTTTAAAATTAATTTTTAAAGAAGTTCTAGGAGAAAAATTTTAAATTTTGTCAAGAGGTGTCTTTAAATTGCTTTCTTTTTAATTCTAGCACCAAGGAGTAGCATTTTTGCTGGCAGAAATGGCAATGAAAGTTGAACTAGCTAGATTAAGTTACCAGAGAGCAGCTTGGGAGGTTGATTCTGGTCGCCGAAATACCTATTATGCCTCTATTGCAAAGGCATTTGCTGGAGATATTGCAAATCAATTAGCCACGGATGCTGTGCAGATTTTTGGAGGCTATGGATTTAATACAGAATATCCTGTAGAAAAACTAATGAGGGATGCCAAGATCTATCAGGTAAGATTAAAAATGATTTTTTTGTTGCTTATTGGGGGATAGAATATTCATAAATAATAGATTTTTTATTATTTAGAGATTTTATGCCACTAGTCATATAAAACTCACTATTATGGGTGGCTGAACTACTTTTTAGAACCAACCTGCACAAAAAAGAATGTTATTTTTGATTAAGTATAGGACCTAGAAGGGACTAGGCTAACAAAGTAAATGATGAAGACATATATGTCTGGATCAGTGTTCTTTGAGTATTAACATCTTAACTAATTGTAGCCCACATTTTGCTCTCCCCAAAAGTATGCATGCCATTTAAAATTATGTTGAGTCTTGCCTGATTACTCTCAGATTCATTAAAACCATAGTTGTAGTCTGATGCCACCATGAGGCGACAGTGATATTTGATTTCTAAATTAAATTTGTGGTTAGAAAAACTTAGGTATAATTTAGCAAATAAGACAAAAATGGGCATCTTCTTCATTCATGGCTTAATTATAAGACATGCTCCTTAATATTCCTTCCCTTGCTGCCTCACCCCCACCAAATTCTTTGACAAATCCAGTCATTTGAAATCTTGAGTGGAATTAGAATGCTAGAAATGAAGCTGGGTGAAGTGGCACACTCCTGTAATCCCAGCAGCTCGGGAGGCTGAGGCAGGAGGATCGAGAGTTCAAAGCCAGCCTCAGCAAAAAGCTAGGCACTAAGCAATGCAGTGAGACCCTATTTCTAAATAAAAAATACAAACTAGGGCTGAGGATGTGGCTCAGTGGTTCAGTGTCCCTAAGTTCAGCCCCTAGTACCTCTCCAATCACCCCCAAAAAAAGAATTCTAGAGATAATATGTTAGACATACTGCAGCCTCCCATTTAAACATGAAAAAAACTGAGGACCAGAATTTGTTCATATCCAAAATCAGAAGTTTATCTGGTAATAGTCTCCCTTTCCTGAGGCTTGTAATTATTATGTTATTATCAATTATTTAACTTTTCTCTACCATCTGAGAAAATGAACTAACAAATGGCTACCTAGGGTTAGAAACTTAGAATGGAAGTGAGTGCTTACTACTTGGAATATGTAAGTGACCAAAACCAAATCCTCCCAACATCCTTGTTTCTTTTAATATCTCTGTGCTTAAGAAGCAGGAGGGAAAAAATTAGGTTTAATATGAAGAATAGAAAATTCCTGAAAGTGACTAGATAAGAAAATTCAGAAAAGTTGGATAGGTATTTCAGCAATTTTAAACTTCAGTTTTCCCAAATTTTTTGAAACATAAGTATCCTCTTCTTTGATATTTGAAGACTTTTTCCAAAGTTTGATAAAATGATTTTAAGCTATTCTTACAGGTTCACAAAATCAGGTTTCAGACCCTCTTTATGCTACAGACCCTATATATAGTTTGATTCAGTTTAGTATTAAAATGAAGCTTCTACTGTTGTCCACATATTGAATAAATGAAGATATTTATGTACAAAAGATATTTAACCTACTTTTATATTTTTCTTACAGATTTATGAAGGTACTGCCCAAATTCAAAGGCTTATTATAGCTCGTGAACATGTTAGCAGGTATAAAAATTAAAAGAGACCTCTACAGAAACGTGGTTGATCGTTGAATAATTAGAATACAATCTACTGTTTATGTTTCAGAAAAGAGAAAAGGCTTTAAAATAAGTATTCTTATATAAATCTATACCATTGATTCTAATGTTAGTTTGCACTTTTGTTTAACAACTCTATGATTTCCCTTTTTTTCAGATAGATTTGGTTTCATTACAATTATGTGTTGTCATAATGTTGTGATGGTGCACACCTACAATTCAAGCTACTTAAGAGGCTGAGGCAAGAGGATCATAAGTTTGAGGCCAGCCTCGGCAACTTAGTGATTTAAATTAAATATTTAAATTAAAGAAAAAAATTTAAAAGGGTTGGGAATGTAGATTTTTTCTTTCCTTGCCTACCATGTGTGAGGCCCTGGGTTCAGTCCCCAGTATTGTGGGTCCTTTAGTATTATTGTACTTGAATTATATTAGCCAAGAAAATTACATTTGTAATTTGATGCCTTAAAGAAGCAGAAATACCTTGGAATTTTATTATTTTCCATGATATAAAATTGAGCCTATGAATTCAAATATGCCAAAATTTACATTGAGAAAATATTATAGGATCTGGATAACATCAAACAACTTGCTAGCAACTTTGTAGATTTAATGGTATTATGTATTAAAAGTGTTTACAATTTGAAAAAAAAAAAAGTGTTTACAATTTGAAATGCACTTGCCTTCATTTCTGCACAATAATAGCCAAAATTTCAATATTCATATTTGCTCATTATACAACTATGAGAAATTTCTTGAAAATCTTTTTAATACTTGCCTTATTTAAATCAATAAAATTTGCCCTACATTATTTTTATATGACTGTTGAACTCTAGGTAACCTTTTGTTTATCATGTACAATCTTATTCATGTATATGCATTTTGAAGGGGAACTTAAATAAAATCATCTGTTTAGTGCTTAATAATGTATCATTGTGTATTCTTTCTAGAAGTTTTATTACTTCATGTAATATGTATACTTCCTAGCTTTACTATGAGATGCAGGTCGTGTTTTGATTTTAAATTGCAATGATGTTACCAACTATATATTTTTTAATCAGACTATTATTATGAAAGATCTCAGAAAATATAAATATAAAACAAGAACCAAAGATTGCAAATGTTTTATAATTCAAAATATATATTGCAAAAATGTTACACTAAATTGAGATGTTTTCTGATACTACTTCTGATTTTTCAATTTTTCTGTATCATATATCCTGTATTTCAGTTCTATTCTAGTATCACCCAAACTTACAAGTCTCTCAAGTCTGCCTTCACTTCAGAGGCCAATCATGTGTCTTCAGTCCTCAAGCTACCCTTACTTTGTCCAATATGAATACAAATTTAGGTATTCCCATGATGCCACCTCAAGTTTAATAATTTGCTATAATGGCTCATAGAACTTAGAAAAACACTTTATTTACATTTACCTGTTTATAAATTACAAAGAATACAATTCAGGAACAGCCAATGGAAGAGAACACAGGGCATGGTTTGGGGGCTGGGCACTACATAGAGCTTCCCTGCCTTCTACCAGCACAGCAGGTTCCCAGCACCTCTATGTCTTCTCTAACCTGGAAGTTCTCTGAATCTCATTCAAGAGTGTTTATAGAGTTCAACCTCTAGTTCCTTTTGACCCCAGAGGAGAAGCTGAAAATCCCCACTTATGAGAGTCTGTTAGGGCTGCCCTAAAAAAAAAAAAAAAAAAAATCCCTGCAGACAGGATGGTGCAAATAGAAACTTATTTTCTCAGTTCTGGAGGCTAGAATTCAGGTTCAAGGTGCTCTTAGGGATGTTTTCTGGTGAATCCTCTCTTCCTGGCTTGTAGACTGCTACCTTCTTACCATATTCTTATGTCTTCTCTGTGCTTATACCAAGGGTTGGATTAGGAGGAGCTCTGGTTTTCTTTTTTTTCTTACAAGGACACCAGTTCTATAAGATTAAAGGCCCTATTTGTGATCTTAATTGACTCCTTAAATACTGTCACCAAATTCCTTCACACTGAGAGTTACAGTTTCAACTTCTCAACTTGGGAATTTATGGGCAGAGGGTCCTATGTACACTTGAGTCCATATCATTACACTCGAATTGGTCTTTCTGGTGATCAACACCCTTTTGAGGCTATATAGGGGTCCCACCCTAAATCACCTTATTAGCATAAATGCAGGTATTTTTGAAAATGGCTCATTATGAATGATAAATGATATCTTTATCAAAGTAAATTAGTTTTTCCAAACTTTTTGAAACATAAATATCCTCTTTGAAGATTTTTTCCCCAAACTTTGATAAAATGATTTTAAGTTATTCTCACAGATTTCACAAAATCAGATTTCAGATGCTCTATATGTTACAGACCCTGTATATAATTTGATTTTATGCCAGGAACTGTGGACAAAGACCAAATATGTATTATACCACATTTATTATACCACAAAAATCTAACTGGGGGGTGGGGTACTGGGGATTAAACTCAGGGGCACTCAGCCAATGAGCCACATCCCTAGCCCTATTTTGTATTTTATTTAGAGACAAAGTCTCACTGAGTTGCTTAGTGCCTTGCTTTTGCTGAGGCTGGCTTTGAACTCCTTGTCCTCCTGCCTCAGCCTCCTGAGCTGCTGGGATTATAGGAATGTACCACTGTGCTCAGCTTAATGTTTTATTTTTTAAAGTTTAAATGACTTTTTTTCATGCTAATATTGAAATTGTATTTCAACGGCACAAGATTGGTAAGATTTAGAGATTTCTTAATTGAATATTACATAGAAATTATAAGCTAAATAGAGAATATGCATTTCAAATGCAGATTTGAATTTGCAATTTGCAGATCCAAAATTTTACCTACCAGTTTAAAACATATAGCTTATAGACATGATATAAATGTGCTCTTAAGGCCATATGAGAATACTGAAGGATGCTTTTTTAGCATTAAGCAATTATACAACTTATATGAATTATAACTTTTGAGTCACAACAAATTAAGCTACTTTAAGCAAAGAAGACAAACGTGTCTTAAATACACTGAAATGTCTCTTGGATCTGTAGAGCAGGAATGGAATCATTTACAAGAAGGGACTATAACCAGACAGTCTTGAGGAATCCATGAGACACAGTCTTTTCTTACTCCGAACACTTCTTATTCTCACATTTCATTCCTTCTTGTTTTATAGTTTGGCTTTCTCGGCTTTGATTCCACAATAGAATAAGACCTCTCTGTAGCATATTTGTAATATTAAATTGACCATCACATATATACATTAACTGGCTAGGGCTGAGAGAGAAATTTGGGAATACAGAAAAAGAAAGATAGTAAACTGAGTCTCAATAGAGAAGTTCCCATGAAACTTGAAATGCAAAACAAACAACTTGTAAGCAATGCAGCCCACATCCTTATCCCACATCTCAGCCCAGATCCTTGGCTTTCATCTTTGCCTTCAAAAAAGTAAAACAATGCAGGAAATAGAAAAGAAAGGTAAGTGGGAAAGTGCCATTGATATGGATTCTAGAATTATAGTCACAAATTTTAAGACATTACTCCATGATTAAACAGAAGAAGAGGTCTTTGGAGATTAAAAACTATTCCGCAGGCAACAGTGTGTTTGGTTTATTTATTTATTTATTTTAACACATGTTTTATTCAGCTTTTTTGCTGCTGCAACTAAAAGACCCAACCAGAATGACTATAAAGGAGGAAAAATTTGAAGGCTCATGGTTTCAGAGGTCCATAGAAGACTGGCTTAATTCCTCAGGGCTTGAAGTGAAGCAGAACGTCATAGCAGATGAGTGTGGTACATGGAAGTAGCTCACATGTGATCAGAAAGCAGAGAGCTCTCCACTTGCCACATACAAATATATGCCCCAAAGCCACACCCCTAATCCCCACCTCCTCCGGCCACATTCTACCATTTCAGTTACCACTCAGTTAATCTCTATTAGGGGATTAATCACTGATTCGGTTAAGACTCTCACAACCCAGTCATTTCTCCTCTGAACTTCTTGCATTGTTTCACAGGTAAGCTTTTGGGAGACACCTCACATCCAAACCATAACAACATGACAGATTTTAACTCATAAAAACTGTTAAAAAAATTGAAGAGCAGCTGGTATGTGGTGCATGCCTGTAATAGCGACTTGGGAGTCTTCCGCAGGAGAATCACAAGTTTGAGTCCAATAGTACTCCTGGGTTCTATGTCCCTAGTATTAAAAAAAAAAAAAAAAAAAAAATTGAAGAGCAGACATATAGCAAATCAAAATTTGCTCACTGATTAGAAACTGATTAGTACCTGAAAAGGCAATAAAATGTAATGCAGCCATCTTTTTTACATAGTAGAAATAAGTTGTAGGTTATAGTTTATTTGTATTATTTTCTGTTTTCTACAATTTAATTTCTAAGAGAGTTGTGAAACAGTTTAGTTGCTATGGTTTGGATGAATATTTCCCAAAAGTCATATGTAAAGGTTTGGTCCCCAGGGTGGCGGGCTGTGTTGGGAGATGCTGTGGTGAGGTGAGGCCTAAGAGGTGAGGCCTAATGAGAGGTCCTTAGACCATTGGTGATGTGCCCTGGAAAAGATTGTGGGACTCTGATCCACTAGCTTTCTGCTGTGGTTGGAGACGCACTTTTTGCTTTGGCAAAATCATTGCCATCCATACCACAAAGTGATGCAGTTAAGTGGCAGCGCTTGCTAAACCTTTGGTATGCTTGCTAAACCTTTAAAACTTAAATAAAGCTTTTCTCTTTGTAAAGTTAACTGCCTCCAGTATTTCACTGTAGAAATGCAAAGTAAACTAATGTGATACCTGTGTTAGTCAGCTTTTCATCACTGGGACAAAATGCCTGAAAAAAAAAAATCTTAGAAGAAGAAAAGATTATTCTGGCTCACAGTTACAGAGGTTTCAATACATGGTCAGCTGGTTCCATTGCTTTGGGCCTGAGGTGAGGCAGAACATCTTGGTAGGAGAACGTTGGGGAGAAAACCCGCTCACCTCATGGCACCAGGAAGCAGAAAGAGGGAGGATGGACTGGGGACAAGATAATTCCCTTTCAGGGCACACATCCAGTGACTTAATGCCTCCAACTTAGGCCCCAACTACTATATTTTCTACCACCTTCCAATAATGCCTTCAAAGTACTAATCCATCCAAGGATTAGTCCATTACTATATTGATGTAGTCATAGCCTGCATGATCCAATTACTTCCCAAGAGCCCCACTCTGAACATTTTATACTGGGGTCTAAGATTTCAACACATGAGTCTTTGGAGGTACACTTCATATCCAAACCATAACATGACCAACAGAAAGATAATCAAAGGTGCATATCCCTTCAGATAATATGCAAAAGATCCATTAAGTAATACTTAGCACTCTACTAAAAGGACATCCAGTAATTCTGTTTTATCTAAGTCTTCTATGATATTTTTAAGAGTCTCTTCCTTACAATCATAAGTAATGGGTCAAGATTATTTTGATTACAAACAGAAAGGTTTTATTAGGTTTGGCCTGACCGTACCTAGGTTCAGCAAGAATGTTAATTAACCCTGTAGACCTCAAATTTGCTTTGCAAATACAGAGCCATGAAACACTGAACAATTACTAAGTATATAAGATTAATTTCTATCTGAAATTTTTCATAAAAATTTTAACATTAGACTTATTAAAAGGCTCTGTAACTTGCTATCCCAAGGATAGGGAACCAAACTCAAGAAATTATCCACTAGGTTTTGCCTGTAGTATCTAAGAATTTAGGTGAGCTTCTCTCCTGAGTGTCTTCAAACATTTGCTAGATTTCTGGGCCTGTCAAACAGTACCCTTCATTACCACCTGTAAGACTGGGATTGGCACTATTTCAATTTAATTGCAACAGTTTTGTAGGCATTGACACCACATATAAAGTCAATTTGCTTTGGATAGCACTTGTCATAACTGA